ATAGATAGATAGATAGATAGATAGATAGATTTTTTTTAAAGTAGTGGTAGAGTGGTCAGGCTTTCAATATGGGGCCTGCTAAAGAGAGACTGTAAAGCAGATGAAGGGATTGAAAGGGGCTAGAATGTAAAATGGATGGAGAAAAGGATGGATTGAAGGACATTTGGTTGAACGAGCAGACAGCTCATGGAAACATTTCTCTATTCCTTTATTCAGTTTTGCATACAGAGCCTGACCTGGGAAACGCCCACATTCCATACAGATTCAGTCTGTAGGAACCCTGAGTAAAGCTGTAAGGAAACTGGTCTCTTTATTTCCTCCATAATATTTTAGTGTTGAGTCTTTGAACACACAACAGCATAGAGGATTGTTCTGGCCTGAGCCGTGCGGCATCCCCCACACTACATCCCTCACATTCATCTACCAAGAGCTCCCACCCACACAGCAACTGTTCACATGTCTTTTCTTCACCACTATTCTTTGATATCGATGCCTTCAAAAAGCTATGCATGTCTGCTCCTTTCTATAACCTACTGTTTGGGCACTTCAGTTGTTGGCCTTTTAAAATGCCTCGGGCTCTTTCGGTGGTTGAAATATACATCAAGTGGGTTAGTTTATTAGTGACTATGCAACAAAACAAAATTAGATGATTCATAATTAAGTGGAGGGAAAAAAATAAACAAATCGACATGATTTTAATGTTTCGGGCCACCTCTACAAACAACATTCAAACAGACTTAATGTTTTATCGTTTTCTTTTCTAGGCAGCAAATCATTGAATCTTTAGTGAACATGTGTATTTAGTGTTTTAGTAGTTTTTATTTAAGCTCTCTGTGCCTCTGTCTTGAAAATTACATGAACATTTTTATGTGCCTTTAAAAATAAGAAGGTTGGGAAATTCTGTGCTTATGATAAGAAGGTAAAATTTAACAGAAGCCGAATGTCATAATAACCATTTCTTGTTATATTTTAATGAAAACTCTGTTTTGTAGTGCCATTCCTCTGCTCTCTCTATCCACCTTTATTATTTAAACATCAAAGCGAATGTGTGTACTAGAAACCTATTTGATATACTCAGACTGTGTAGGGACCCTGCATAATGCAGCTTGCTGCTAAGTGATTTAGGCAGGAAATTTAGGTGAAACTTCATGATACAGGACATTACCTTCAGGCCCTGCCAAGGCAGACTACCTCGGAGGAAGTACATAAACATGTGGCCCAGTGCTTCTAAATCATCTCTTCTGCTTTGCTCTAGAATACAAAAAAAGAGAAAACAAATATGTTTTATGGCTGGATTATTTTATGATTAAACCTGGGCTTAGTAGAGAGACTCACCTTTTCCCAGGTGTGTATTAATGCTCATGTAGCGTGCCGTCCCAGTCAGACTCTTGTGCTCCCGGTAGGGGATGTGTTTTTTGGTCTCAGGGTCTATATATTCTTTGGCCAGACCAAAGTCGATGATGTGGATGGTATGCTGCCTCTTGCTTCCAGGCCTCCCAACAAGGAAGTTCTCTGGTTTTACATCTCTGTAGATCAGACTCTTGGTGTGTACATACTCCATCCGTGTTATCTAGTCAAGACAATTCAATGGGAAAAATTAGTCTGGACAAGAGAGGGAAGCGTACAGCAAACCTAAAAGGAGAGTTATGCTGAATAATAAAACTTTTAGGGTGAATTTACTTCTTATGAGTGCTATGCATGTTGGCCAGACTGGATACGTAAGCAGTGCAGTTGAGTAGTGGGCCAACCCCCTAAAAAACTAAACGATTAATTAAAGAGGATACTCAAGGAGTCTTTTAAGGACAACATTCAAAACAGCCTTTTGGGTTTCACCTCAAACAAACGGCGCATCATTAAACCCCCTTTATTGAATTGAAATGAAAGACCAACTTTATCAGAAAAAATCCACTTACCCCTTTGATCCCTGTTCTCAGAATTTGCTACTTGTCCTGGCAGGTTAAAGCTAAATAAATATGCTAAATATTTGATCAGATTGTCTTCTGCACTTTAACATCCACTTAGCTATCAGAGGGCTGGTAAATGATGAATGAGTGGTGTGTATGCATCAGAAAAACTATCTCAACTCCACTGCTATTCATGTATATGCAAAGCGATAAATGTATATCGTTGCTTATTATTAAACAATGAGCAAATTGCTTTTTTTTTTTAAATCATCAAACTGGTGACTTTAAGAACTACTTCCTATAGATTTCAGTTTTAATTTCTTTACATTTTTGCCTCTTGTTGTAGTTAAGGTATTTTTACACAGGTCTTATTAAAAAATAAACTCATTCAGTTCAATTTAAAATGTGAATTTAGATGTCATATTTTGGTTTAAGAAGTATAATTCCAAGGTTTTTTAAAAACAATTTAGTTTAATCTGGCTTACAGAAATGCAAACCCCAAGTTCTGTGTCTCAGAAAATTTAAGATCATGCATAAAACCAAAAAAAAATATTATTTTGAACATAAAAATACCCTCAGTACTAATAAATATGTCTATAAAGATTACAGCACAGGTACTCTTTACAGGATCATGGCACTTCGTGGATGCAACATGATTGAGTGCAAAGAAAGATCCAGACTGTCTCAACAGCAGCCTTCAGCTTATCTGCATTATTAGATTTGATGTCAGACATCCGTGTTTGGGAGCTTTGAAAACACATAAACTGAAACTAATACTAAGTGTTTACATATAACCTGCCCTGATCAGGGCTGAACAATATTAGTTAAATTGCCACGTGATAATATTGGCGAGTGGGGAATATGGATATGAATTAAATAAACATGTTCTCTCTACAAGGTTGTTGGGGATATTTCCTCAGGATCATATCTGCAATTTTCTTGGCAATTAAAGAACTAAATTGTAGTTTCTCAATGACTTACGCATCTTAGTACCTCTTCATGTCATGAGAACTTTTTATGCAGCATTTAAGACTAAATGTCAAATATTTTACAGGTACAGGAACTCTGAACGGATTGTTATTAAATAATTAGATGACATTTATTCAAGTCTTTGCATTTCTTTAAAACATGTGTACCACATACATGTACTGTTATACTGCGATACAGTTTGCAACTCATTGTGCAGCAATGTCCCTGATTCTGCTAAGGAGGCAGCCACAAACCCTTTAACCAAGATTAAACTTGAGGGGTAATAGCAGATTGTGAAATGCCACCCCAGCAGTAGCAACATTTTAGTACCACACCATTTCCTTCCACTGAATCTACCATTAACATGCAAGTCTAGTTTAATAACTTTTGTGAACTTACTCTCCTTTGTTGCTTATGGCTGTGGATGGGCTGCGCAAATCATAAGATTCTCTATTACAAACCTTTTCTTTAACACTAACGCTGTGTAATTCTGATATACTGGAATAATGAATTTAAGATTTATATTGAAAAATAAAGCAATTACCACCAAAACTAAACCTGAGTTCTTTAATGTTTAACTAATTTATAGTTTACACTTATTGAATAGTTATGATCAATTAAGTATGTGAAATGGTCTTTTTCTTTTAAGCAAAAACTCTGTTCAAAGCAGAATAGGATAAAATTACTAAAATAACTTTTTTTTTTCTTCCTGGTGTCGTTACGCATGCCTTACCAGCTGTATGGCTATCATGAGGACGGTCTTGAGGGAGAAGGTGCGGTCGCACAAGTCAAACAGATCCTCTAAGCTAGGCCCAAGCAGCTCCAGCACCATGGCGTTGTATTTCCCACATGGACCAAAGTAGTAAACCTGAGGAATTCCCTCTGTACAGACAAAAAGAAACAAATTCAATATGTTTTGTTATATTCCTTTATACACACACACATATATACATATATATATATATATATATATATATATATATATATATATATATATATATATATATATA